TTATGTAATAGTAAATAATATCGATATTTTTATATGATATAAGTAAAAAAATATAACACGGGTTGACATTAATTTTCATTTAATGTACGGGTGTTTAATTATTATGATTAAAAAAATATAATTTAACAATTTAATTAAAACCCAAAGTAATGTTTTATATAAAATTGAATTAGTTTAGTTTTAGAAAAAAAAAATTAATATTTCTTACAAAAATTTTCTAATTCAACACCCGTGTAATACACGGGTATTGTACTAGTGCATATTAATGATAAATAAAGTGTTCAATGTTTAAAAATTTTAATATATAAAAGTATTAAAATAATAAATATACTTTTATAATAACAATAATAAATACACTGCGACTGCACAAATAGTATTAGACGAATTGCACTTTAACGTCTATCAAGTTGCACCATAATGTTAGACGAATTGCACATAATAACCGAACTTGAATGAACAAAAGATTTCGTTTCGAATATAGAAGTATCTCATAAATGCATATTAATGATAAATAAAGTGTACACTATTTAATAAGTTTTAATATGTAAAATCTTAATATATAAAAAATATTATAATAACAAATATACTTTTATAATAATAAATAATAAATACACTGCGACTGCACAGTAGTGTTAGACGAATTGCACTTTAACGACTACCAAGTTGCACCATAATGTTAAACGAATTGCACATAATGATCGAAATTGAATGAACTAAAAATTTTGTTTCGAAATCGTATATTTCGGGTCGATTATCTGTTTTTATTGGTAAAATATCAATTATATCAGATCAATATGAACATTATTTTGTTAAAATAACCAAAATATCAAACCGACTAACTATATAAAAATAATATATATATATATATATATATACATATATATATATTATTTATTTTCAGCTAGAAAAATATAAAATATCAAATATAAATATTAAAAATACTAAATATATTTATTTATAATTTAAATATTAAGTTATTTATATTTTTTATAGTATTTCGGTTACCGATTATTTAAATTCGATTTTAATTTGGATTAGAACAAATTATTAAAAATTATATGCACTGTAAGTGCACTATACTGTTAGATGAATTGCACTATATTGTTAAATGAATCGCACATTAATGACTATCGAATTACACTTAATCGATTGAACTAATTTTTTCAGTTCGATAAGTTGTTTTTACTTCTATGATCACGATTATTTGAGTTTGTGGTCGACATTATTTTTTCAAGTAAACAATATTAAATAAAAATATAAATACAATATATATTTTTAGTATATAAATAAATTAATATATATTTTCAGTAAATAAATAAATTGTTTATTGTGCATTTAGTAATATTTTTAATAAACTACATATCTATTTCGGAAAATGCTACAATCCCGTTACAGAACCATTCCGTTGGGATTTGTAACCATTAGATCATCAAGTAACCGTCAATGATAGTTGATCTATTTCATTAAGTAAATTGCAAAATATCAAACATTCTTAAAAATTGCCAATAAGTCCCTATATCTAATCTAATTTACTAAATCCAGCCACCAAATCTGCAGACAAACATCATCTCCCACCCCTCAAATTGACCTGTCACCCGCCGCACACCACCACCGTCGCCACCACATTCACCACTGAACTCACCATTGAAGTTCACTCAAACACACATGGAGGTCACGAAAAACAAAAAATGGCAGATCTGGGAGCATTAGAGGCGTCGGATATGCGCCTGTTCGGCGGTCTCGCGGTGGTGCTCGGCCCCCTCGCCTTCACGCTCGTGGACATGGTGTGCTTTTACTGTAAGTTCTCCGGCCACTTCGAGAACATAGAAGGTGGAGGCGACGTGGTGAGAGATCTCAACTCCGGGAGAAGGCGGCTGCGCCGACGGCGGCAACGCCGTAGATGAAGGATGCATTGGTGTTTAGAAGTCGGATAATTTGGCCATGCCTATGTCGAGTAAGGCGCTTCTGTGGTGATAATCCGGCGGGCATGTGGTTTCAGAGGTGGCGACCGGGAATGACGGTGGCGACCGGCCGTGCCGGCGGCTGAGGATGGCCTTGGTGGTGATGATGGTTGCCAGCAGGCTCGTCTTGTTTGTGTGTGTGTGTCGCGATTGTGTATGTGTTTTTGTAAAATGAGTGTGTGTTGTGTGTGAGAGAGGAGGGAAGGATGAGTGTGTGTTGTGTTTGAGAGAAGGGATGTGGTAGGCGACGAATTTGTTGGGGATGGTGGATGTGGGTACCATTTAAAATATGTGTATTGACCAACTTATCCTTAATTATTGGTCAAATGCATATATTTGACCACACTATGATCAAATAATTACCAACTTGCCATTAATGATTGACCATAGTTTGACTTCATCCTAACCATTAATATGATTGATGTCATGGTTCAGATTTATTCTCATTTATATATATATATATATATATATATATATATATATATATATTTCTTAATAGGATATACTAGTACAATACCCGTGTATTACACGGATGTTGAATTAGAAAGTTTTTGTAAATTTTTTTATATATTTTTTAAAAACTATTATAATTTAATTTTATATAAAACATTACTTTGGATTTTAATTAAGTTGTCAAATTATATTTTTTTAATCATAATAATTAAACACTCGTATATTAAATAAAAATGTCAACCCGTGTTGAATTTTTTTACTTATATCATATAAAAATATCAATATTATTTACTATTACATAAGTACAAAAATATATATCTTAAATAAATAGAAATAATATGGTGATATGTATATGCATAAGTGTAGAATATGTTTATTTAATATTAAACAAAATAGATTAATATTTTTTACTTAATTAGATGCTAATACATTAAGTGTCGTATCAGTCATGCTTCATAGTTTTTAACTTTATATGTAATTTTAGAATTTATATAAATAATTATTTATTTTTATTACATTGACAACATACCGATTAGATTTGAAATAAATATCATTTTTAAAAGAATACATACCAATTTCTATTACTTTATAATATAATTTATAGTTTTATTTGATATAATTTAATTTAGTTTGATAAATAAATTTAAATTTTATTTATAAGGATATATATTACTGTTTTGTAATATATATATATATATATATATATAATATGAATGTCAAATCGAAAATCGTTAAAAGTATGTAAATAAATTATAAAATACAAACGGACTTCATAATATCAATTCAAATGTAACACACTAATTAAATTTTTTTTTCTTGACAATATTAACCCTATTTAATGGATGTTATGGGAAACAATTGAGATGAGATGTGAAGAGACACTGTGTATTAGATGGAGGGTTAAAAATGAAAAAATATGAACAAAATATCTAAAACAACATTTATTTTTATCAATGATCAATTAAGCCAAAATGACAAATAATAAAAATAGGAGAGAGTATATATTATTATATATTTTAGTATGACACATGTTACTTGTGCGACTTATATGTGCTATATTATAATAAATTTTCTACTTTATAACATATAACTACATTAAACATAAATATATTAATTGATAATAATTTTATTTTCTAATTAATTTTAATAAATAATTTTTTTATTATTATAAAGATAAATATAATTTATTTATTTTATATATACAATATGGATGTCAAATCGAAGCTCATCAAAAGATGATTAATTTGATATATTATATATGTAAAAGCGATAAGAAATACAAAATTATCAACTTTTAAACATATTTTCAATTCAATAGTTATAATAGGAAACAATATTAAAATACAATTAATATAAATATTAATTTATATCCAAGTCTAACTCCGAAGCATGATTTTTGGCCAAATAGGATTCCGAAACATGAGAGTTTGCCACGTAGGCTCAGCGCATTCTGAAATTATATATAGAGGGGATATTCAAAATTCTGTTTTGATGGCTGATAATACCGTGAATCCGATTATTAAGGGAAAATCTAAAAACAAGAAAAGAGTTTTAAAAAATCTGAAATAATATATCTTTATGTTTAATTAGGTCGAAAAAAATTGTTCTACAAAATCACGGATGATTTTTAATATTTAAATTTTTTAGATATTCAGTTTGAAATATAATCAAATCCGTCTTTGTAGGAAATATAAGCATATTTGTTGACACATGATTAATAAATCTAAATTGCTTGATCCGAATATGTGATGTAAAAAAACATTTACATAGTTTAGATCATGTGTATTTTTAGTGTGTGTTCCCGAGTATTACCCTGTTAGGGTCGGGCTCTAGGCGGTCTTTTGACCTGTCATCTCCATTTTTATGCAGTTGTTGCTGGATGTATTCGGCTGTTGGTTGTTTGTATTCAGCTGGTGGTTGTTCTTTTGCACATTTGTGCGCTTTTATATAAAATCTCTATCGTTTCGACAAAAAAAAAAAAAAAATTTAACTTGGNAATACCTTCATATAAGGGATTTTGTTTCTTTAAACTATCCAAAAAAAAAAAATATCGGTAATTTGAAACTTTTTCAGAATAATAAACTCGTACAACCGCATTTTTTTGGTCATCCAATGCAACAAACTCATACAAATTGCATTTAATGTTGTCCGTGATATCTTTTAAAAGAAAAAAATTGGCATTAACGGAAAGTAATTTATGATGAACGAAATTGATCATATAGTTGACCTGCCATTTTTTAAAAATGGTAATTCTTATTATATATGTATAGATTTCAGTCAACGAACATTTAAAAAATTGAGATTATAACTTTCTTTTAAAGTAATATTTAAAAAAAATCATAATTACTAAGTCACAATTCAATTTAAAAGACAACTTCCTATTTCTTATTTTACAACCTATTTGGTCCTTTCTAACTAGAGAAAATATTTCCAAATTTATCCCATGTCACATAAATTTGCCTCAAGAGCAGTTGAACAAGATCCTGCGGTATGACGTGGCGCCACCTGATTCGCTAGTGGGCCTCAGTGGACGTGGCTCACGCCACGGAGTTTCCTCTTCATATTGTCCAGACTCCCAGATGGTTTTCGTAGTAAGATAGTGAATCTCATTTCAACGGTTATAAGAATGCAGAATCCTAAATTGTGTTGTACGTTTGACTAGCATACGAAAAGCTCCATATTCGGTCAAAACGTACAACATATTTCAGCAATTCAAAGAAGTCTGCAATCGGATTTCACCAGAAAATATTAAATGCTATTAGCCGATATTTTTATGCGCATAACTCTCTCTGTCTCTCTCCCGCTGAGAATTCATACACTCTGAAGGTTCACCGATCCATCTTTGTGCAGTTACAGATAAAAAAGAAATACTTTCAGGTTTTATATTTGAAGTTTTTTTCCCCTCATCTCGCCTGATGTTTATGGATATGTTTGTGTTCTATGTGCGAAATTATTATGTTTACTCAAAGTCTATTTGATTTGCCTTGTGGTTTAAGATTGGATTTTTCCTCATAGAGTTTCTAAAATTCCAATTTTCTTTTTTCAGGAATTTGGTTATATGAATAGTGAAATGGGGTTTTTCAAATGTTTTTTATAATGTTATTAACTTACATCTCGGTTAAGTCCTGAAAGTTTGCTTTAGGCGTATAAAATCATGGCAGATTTGTGAATTGGGTGTTGTTTTGGATTGCTCAGTTTGCATATTTATGCGTATTCAGTTCTCAGTACGGTAGTAATTCTTTAAGTTTGACAGAAAGATCCAGATTTCAATAAGACATTGCAATGAAGAATAACGAGCGCCTGGCTAATTTGGCCCTGGCAGGTATATTCTTTGTGATGCTATTTTCTTTTCCTCTCTTTAGCTCTTTAACCTTCATGTTGGTAAATAGATGATCTTTCTGTAGTATTACAGAAGCCAAATGAAACTATGTTTGACAGTCCATTTTCTAACTGTGTTTGATGATGAGCGCTTTGTATTTTCTTTAGTTGTTTACTGATTTCTATATGCTTTACTTGCATTAGTTGAACAAAATTTACATCCTGTCCGTTTTGTGGAAGCATGCTGTCTATGTGGATAGAAGTCATTTACCACTGAGGCAATCTGTGTTGATGTTTGTTGATCTTGCAAACATCAACTTATGTTTATTTTCTTTTCTCTAAGAGTTTTTAGTTGACTGTCCCAAACCAGTGGAAAGGAGGAGGAGGATTGCTTTAGATTGGCAGCCAGCATAAAACTTTGCCATTCTCATGAGTATTCTCATGAGTATGGATCACATAAGAAATCGTGCAAATGTTAGGATTCCGCCCGTTGTAAGTGGCACGCCGTAGGTCTGACTGCGTCGTCTTGGCAAGGACCACTACTTCTCCATGGGACTTGGGTGTAGTGACAAATGTGCAAGAGACCCCATACGCAAAGAATGTTTTACAAGATATTTCTTTCACTTCTTGGCAAGTACCGCTACATTCTCATGAGGACGTGAGAGTAGTGGGAACTAGGGAAAAGACCCAACGCTTAAAGCATAAACATAGGAGTAGTAAAACTTGTAGAATAGGTAGTTGGAATATAGGGACTTTGGCAAATCTATAGAGGTAGTGGAGTGCATGAGAAGGAGAAGGGTAAATATAATGTGCTTACAAGAAACTAAATGAGTAGAAGAAAAGGCCAAAATGTTAGATAGCACGGGTTATAAACTTCTGTATAATGGGAAAGATAGGAATAAGAATGGGGTAGGGATTCTAAGAGATGTTTTTTTATCATAGATCAAGTAGTAGGGGTAGTTAGAAAAGAGGATAGCACTTTAACCTGAAAAATCATAATAGAAAATGAACCCATAATTATAATAATTGCTTATGCACCCCAAATAGGACTAGGTAAGTCAATTAAGATTAAATTTTAGGATGACTTAGAGTCGTTGATCCAAACTGGGAGGGGATTTAAATAGGCAGGTATGGGAGAGAGGGGATTTAAATAGGCATGTAGGGGAGAGAAACTTTGACTATGAGAGGGTTCATCGAGGCGTAAAAGTATCCTAGACTTTTCGGTGGCGTATGATTTCATCATATCCAACACTTATTTCAAAAAGAGTGATGATTACATACAAGAGTTGTAAAAGTATCCTAGACTTTTCGGTGGCGTATGATTTCATCATATCTAACACTTATTTCAAAAAGAGTGATGAACACTAAATTACATACAAGAGTGACGCTGATAATCACATTGACTGTTTTCTAACTTGGAAAAGTGATAAAAAAAAGTTTGCAAAGATTGTAAGGTAATATCGGGAGAGGGTCTTACGACCTAACATAGGTTATTAGGTAGGAGTTTGTCTTTCTTATTTTATTGCAAGACCTTCAACAGCCCAACAAGCGTGCGATATAAGAATTAAATGTAGTCACGTTAAGAAGAAAATACCTAAGATACCTAGGATAAAATGGTGGAACCTTAATAACAAAGATAAAAAGGAAAGATTTACTAAGACTTTACTTGAAAACATCAATTGGAGTATGGAAAAATAAGCAAATAAAACATGGGAGAAGGTAACTAAAGAGATAAAATGAATTGCTAAAAGAGAATTAGGGGTTTTCAGATGTAGTAAGTGTACTAAAGAATCATGGTGGTGGAATCAAGCAGCAACAACAACAACAACAACATACTCAGTATATTCCCAACAGGTTAGGGTCGGTTTCCGTAGCGACCCAAGGTACAAGGAGGCTGTTTCCGTAGCGACCCAAGGTGCATTGCGCCGTTTGATATTTTTTTTTTTTTCTAGAAACTTCACTGATAGAAGAAGCACTAGAATTTAATTGAGTCATTTTGATCTAGTCCATTATTAGCACTATGCCAGGAGAATTGTCAATAATGACTCTTCCAGCTCCATTTGCAATGGACAATAAAATTTGATAAGGTGGTGGAATCAAGATATTCAAGAAAAAGTTAAAGAGAAAAAGGTGTGTTACAAATCGTTATACAAGTGTAGGAGTGATGAAAATATAGAAAAAATATAAAAAATGCAAAAAAAGAAGTGAAAAAGTTGTTAAGTGAAGCAAAGATAAAAGTCTTCGAAAACTTTTATAAAAGATTAGATACTATGGAGGGAGAAAATGACATCTATAAAATTGCAAAGGAAAGGAAAAAGAAGACAGATGAATTAGTGGAAATTAAATGCATACAAGATGAATATGGAGAGGTATTAATTGATGATAAAATAATAAAGGATCGGTGGTAGGATTATCTTCATGAACTATTTAACGAAGTAGATAATAGGAAAATATTGCTAGGGAATTTAGAGGAAAGTGAGAAATATAAAATTTTACATTCTATAGAAAAATTCAAACCAAAGAAGTAGAGAAAGTAATGCAGAAAATGAAAAATGGCAAAGCCGCAGGTCCCGATGATATTCCAATAAAGGTATGGAGATGCCTTGGTATATTTAGAATTGAATGGCTTACGAACTTGTTCAACATAATCATGAAGAATAAGAAAATGCCCATGAAGGAAAAGTATGTTAATACATTTGTTTCAAAATAAAGGAGATATACAGAATTGTGCAAACTACAGGGTCATAAAACTGATGTTTCACACAATTAGGTCCAAGTAGACGGCCATTAGTCCTTTTAGCCCGCCCGATTTTGGGTAGTCTCAGTTCTCTTCAGTGACAGCTGGATTGTACTACAATGCTTGATTGGCAAGTTGGCCATAAAGAGAAGGCGTTCAAATCTCAGTCTTAGCACTCGGACAGGCTGACGAGAACCTCAGCTGACAACCAAGCATGTAATAGCTCATGGTCTAATCTTACATCTTCCTACCTCTTTGTGGAAATCTTGGCTGAATTGGCGTGCTTCCTTCTCCGAGATAAGTGGCATTAATTATCTGGTACTCCCGATCCTAACTAAACAAAAAGAGCCTTGAATGCTAGGCAGTTGCCAGTCAGAACAAAAATCCAAATAGGATGGAAAAGGACATCATTGGCGCGCGAACGGTTTAGACAAAGGCAAGAATGGCATATCCGAACAGCTTCCCCAAGTCGTAGGAAGACGGAGGAACTAACCAAAGAGCTAAATACGTAAGAAATCCCAATTCAGGTTTTCCCTGATGAAGCGAAAGGAAAAAGCCTATTTATTGAGAGGAGAGGCCAATTGCAAATGGAGCTGGAAGAGTCATTGTTGACAATTCTCCTGGCATAGTGCTAATAATGGACTAGATCAAAATGGCTAATAATGGACTAGATCAAAATGGCTCAATTAAATTCTAGTGCTTCTTCTATTAGTGAAGTTTCTAGAAAAAAAAAATATATATATCAAAAACGGCGCAATGCACCTTGGGTCGCTACGGAAACAGCCTCCTTGTATAATTACAAGGGTAAGGTCTGCGTACAACTGACCCCCCAGACCCTAACCTGTTGGGAATATACTAGGTATGTTGTTGTTGTTGTTGATTGAGAGGAGAGGCCAAGGC